GAGCCACGGGTGCCTGACTTAAATACTACTCTCCTCGACTTGAGAATCGCTCAGCACACAGAGGCTCTGTGCAGTGAGCACGCAGCGCATACAGGCGGCGACTTGGCATGCAGGAGAAATGTGACTCTGCCCAACCCCCTTTGCGAGACCACACTACAACAAAGAACATGGCCAGGAAGCCAAGTACTGAGTTACCGCGGGGTAAACACAGCACTATTTCAACTGCCCTTCCTGGAAGTTTAAGTAGCAAGCTTTGAAAAGTTCAAGCAGCTATGTGACATTTAGGAAACATAACACGCATCTGCCACCTCCCCCAAGTCTCATAACATGCAAAGAATCCCATGCCTTAATAGTAGGATTTTAACTTCAAATTATGTATCATCATCTACGCTGCTTAAGATAAATCCAGAATGAACAGGTGAATGGAAAACTTTACCAACTATTTCTCTATTTCAAAATCTGTTTGCAATGTCATTTCCACATCACAAAAAAACAAAGCATCAGCCAGGCGTCAGTGGCTCACGCCTGTCATCCTAGCTATTCAGGAGGCTGAGATCTGAGGATCTCGGTTCAAAGCCAGCCCAGGCAAGAAAATCTGTGAGACTCTTATCTCCAGTAAACCACCAGAAAACCGGAAGTGGTGCTGTGGCTCAAGTGGTAGAGTGCTCACCTTGAGCTGAAGAGCTAAGGGACAGCGTGGCTCACACCTGTAAATCTGACTTCAAAGCCAGCCCAGGCAGGATTGTCATTCACCATCAATTAACCAATTAATCACCAAAAAGCCAAAGTAGAGCTGTGGCTCAAGTGGTATAGCACTAGCCCTGAGCAAAAGAAGCTCAGAGCTGGTGCCCAGGCCCTGAGTTCAAGCCCCAGGACCAGCACACACATGTGAAAAAAAGCAGCAAAATTGCCATGTTTAACAGGGCAATTCAAGATTGTTGCAAATCTAAAGTGTTCCAAAGTCTGAAATTTATTTAGCATCAACCTGATACTCAGAAAGTTCTAAAATGTAGAGTGTATGGATTTCCAATGCTCAGACGAGGTACACACATTGGTGATGTGTCCACAGAGACATTCTAGAAATCAAACCCAATTCTCTGACGCCTAAGCATTTTAGATAAAGATAATTCCACCATCATGGGAGATTTCAGATTATAACGTAGAGAACAAAGCAATTACCTGTATATGTTTGGGTCCAAAAGCAAGGCGGTGTCTTTGGGTAGCTTTGATAGATGAACTACTTTAGTTTTTAATTGATGCCGCTCACTTTCATTCACCCATACATCTGGCAGACTGCAAATCACAAAAAGAAAAAAGTCCAACTTGAAACCCCAATTGTGTAAGGTCACCTTACAACGGACCTTCCCGAGCCGGCCGCCCGCACCAACAGCAGTGGCTGGGTCACAGGCACGCAGCCCCCTGCCCGGCATACGTTCCCAAGCTGGGGAGAAGCTGCCGCACAGCATCAGCCTGAGATTGCAAGCAGGAATTTAGGAAGGAATGAGGAGGGTCGGGTACACTGCCTAGCTGTTAGCTCGCTAAGTGCAACTGCTATCTGACCGGAAGGAAAGCTGAAAGCCAATGTCTTCCTTATGAGAAGAAACATCACCAGAGCCGGGCGCTGGTGGCTCCCGCCTGTCATCCCAGCTACTCAGGAGGCTGAGATCCCCAGATCGTGGTTCAAAGCCAGCCTGGACCGTGAAGAGTCTGAGCTCCAAGAAACCACCAGAAAACCAGAGGTGGAGCCGTGGCTCACATGGTAGCGCATTTGCCTTGAGTGAAAGAGCTCAGGGACAGCGCCCAGGCGGCGAGCTCAAGCCCCACGACCAACAGAAATAAATAAATGAAAAACAAAAAGGGCAGCGGAGGAAGCCGCCCTGGCCTCTGCGTGGGGAAGGCTCGCCCACAGAGCAGCGGAGGAAGCCGCCCTGGACTCTGTGTGGGGAAGGCCCGTCCACGGGGCAGCGGAGGAAGCCGCCCTGGACTCCGCGTGGGGAAGGCCCGTCCACGGGCGCGGCGCGCTTCCCCTACTCACATGTCTTCAGGCATCCAGTGAAGGAGGAGCTTTATCTTTCCAGAATCCTCTTTTCTCTTCGCTATTACCTGGTAGGGAGAGACAGGAAGGGAAAGAAAAAGTCCACAATGCTGGGTGCAACATCAGTCTCGGGGCGGGCACTGTCCTAGGCACCCCGGGCCCGCTCAGTCTCTGGCTTACGTTTGCATCTCACAGATGGAGATGGCCCCAGGGCTTGCGGGGGAGGGGTTAACAGTGAGAATTTCATTCAAATGGCAACATTTTATTTTTTACCAGTCCTGGGGCTTGAACTCAGGGCCTGGGCGCTGTCCCTGAGCTGCTTTTGCTCAAGGCTAGCGCTCCACCACTTGAGCCACAGCGCCACTTCCGGCTTTTTCTGCTGATGTGGTACTGGGGAATCGAACCCAGGGCCTCATGCATGCGAGGCGAGCGCTCTACCACTGAGCCACCTGCCCAGCCATGCAGATGTATCTTTGCTGCAAGGCTGCACCATTTACTGCATCTACATACTAACTCCCCCCCACCCCAACACGCACACGTATTGGCCCAAAAGACACAAAAAACAAAGCACGACACGGAAACTCCCAGAAGAATGGTGGTCAGGGGCCAATCCCAGCAGAGCAAGAGCAAAAGAGCTGGCGTGGCAGCCTGCAAGCACAGAGGCCCCAGGTGCGATTCCCAGTCCCCGGGTTTTCTCCCGCCCCCAAGTGCTTTCCCAGCTCCCGCGCTAGCCAGGGCACACCCCTGAGAACGGGCTGCGCTGGCGGCTGCCCCCACTTTCGCTAGTTACATTCATTGTAGTGCACGGCCATCTTTTCCCATTTTCTTTCCACTGGCCTGCTTTCTTCTCTGGTTTGTGTTACCACCCAACACACAGCAGGGCCTCAAATTTACGGGAGCAAAACAGTGCCCGGTGTCCGCGTCTCAGGCCAACGACTCCAGCCCCGCAGAGCCGAGGCGTGCATCGGGTGGTAGAGTGTCGCCAGCCAATCAGCAAAAGCAATCCGATACCAAGTCTGAGTCCCCGTCTCAGACCACGAAAAAGGCAAGCTGAGATTTGGAGGACCTCTACCTATTTAAGGCCAGGCAGAATTCACTAGACTCCATCTCCAAAATAGCCAACATAAAGTCAGGCTAGGGCTGGGCAGGTGGCTCAGTGGTAGAGTACTCGCCTAGCCTGCGTGAAGCCCTGGGTTCGATTCCTCAGCACCACCATACCCAGAAAAAGGCGAAAGTGGGCCTGTGGCTCGAGTGATAGAGCGCTAGCCTTGAGCAAAAGTTCAGGGACAGCACCTGGGTTCAAGCCCCAGGACTGGCACAAAAAAAGTCAGGCCCGAGGTATGGCTTAAGTGCTAAAGTATCAGCAGAGGAAAAGCAACGGAGAGACTGGGTCCAAACCCTAGAGCCAGCAAAGGGAAAGGGGAGAGAGATGTAGTTTGGTTTGTCTGTTGAAACTGTTTTAGAAAGCAGGAGTAAGACTGACTGATGCCGGGTGCCGTGGCTCACGTCTGTCATCCCAGCTGCTCAGGAGGCTGAGATCTGAGATCACAGTTCAAAGCCAGCCCGGGCAGGAAAGTCAGTGAGAGGCTCATCTCCCATGAACCACCAGAAAACCAGAAGTGGCGCTGTGGGTCAAGTGGTAGAGCGCCAGCCTTGAACTGAAGAGCTCAGGGACAGTGCCCAGGCCCTGAGTTCAAGCCCCACCACCGCCAACAACAACAACAATAACAAAATAGAAATGTGATGGTGAAAGGTCAAAGCCGTTCTTCGCTTTTGATACTCACAGTACTATGGAAGACCACACTGTGGCCCTTGCCCAAGCTCTCGATGTGGGCGGAGAGGTTAAAGCATATAGCTCGGTGTCGGATGGCGTCCAGGGTCTGGGCGTCGAAGAAGTCGTGCGGTCGCGCTGCAAGGCAGCACAGAACAGCAGCGGTTAGGAAGGCAAAGGGTCGTGAGGAAAACCTAGCAGTCCAGGCGGGGCAGGCGGCTCAGGGGTAGAGCGCCCGCCTCGCATGCATGAGGCCCTGGGTTCGATTCCTCAGCACCCCAGACACAGAAAAGGCTGGAAGTGGCGCTGTGGCTCAAATGGTACAGTGCTAGCCTTGAGCAAAACGGAAGCCATTTCCTAACACCATGGTAGACTAAGGAAAGCCCCCCAAGAGCTAAGCCTGGGGGTCACACTCTCCCCCCGCCCCCTGGGGCCACTCACGCAGCGAGCGCCGCCTCTTGTTCCTCAGCTTCCGCCTCTTGTTCACGCCAGCCTTCGAAGGAGATTCTTCTTTGGCCTTGGGCTGGCTGGACACCTTGGACGAGTTCTGCTGGCTGAAGTGCGTGGGCACGTGGCGCGCGAGCCCCCCCTGCGACGCGAAGCTGGCGCTGCAGCCGCCCACCACGCACTGCAGACACAAAGACGGGCGCGGGCTGAGCACCCCACCGCGGCCAGGGGAGGGTCCCCGGGACACCAGCTGCCTCCCGCCCTATGGCCGAGCATGCCCACACAACGCTCCTGAAACCTGCGATGCTCTTTAGTGGGAAGATTTACTGGATCCAGGCGCTCAGGAGAGACTTCTGGAAGCCCTGCACAGTGTCCTCCCTCCCTCCACGGAAGCAGGACGCGAGCGTAGCCCCCCCCCCCCCCCCGGCCTGAACCGCGTCTCAGGCGCAGCTCAGCTCCAGGGCCTCTCGGTTCGATCCTGTGTGCACACCTAACAGTTCTGCCACCAGCAAGTCGCTTTCTAGATGACCCTCCAGCCGGGACCCTGGCTCAGACCTGATAAGCTACTCAGGAGGCCACGATCCAAAGATCAGAGCTCAAATACTGCAGAGATGGTAACTGTGTGTTCAAAACCCACTGTGTACACAGGTGAGAATATCCTATTTCAAAGGTATCTGGGTGTTTTTAGTGCTGATCCCAGAGCTAGAAGTCGGCCTGGGCGCTGTCCCTGAGCTTTTTTGCTCAAGGCTATAGGACTCTACCACTTGAACCACAGCTCCACTTTATTGTTTTTGGTGGTTAATTGGAGATTAACTTTTATGGACCTTCCTGCCAGGCCTGCCTTCAAGCTG